CAGGCGTGCCAATCCTAATCATGACTTGGAGGCCAACCTGTATAGATTGGCTGCAGCGCCTTCATGTGATTAGGTATATATTTAATTTCAGATAGCTGGACGCCATTCATAATTAGATATAGATTTTTGAATTTCTTTTTGTCTATATTCCTTGAATGGTGCTAAAAGAGCACAGGGGTTGGGCCCATATGGGAGCCTTGCATTAAACTCTTTTCAAAATTAAAAAACAAATATTTTTTTACCTTTCAATATTCAAAAGTTCTTCATATCTCCTCTTTTTTTACTACAGGAGTCCTAAGAAAATTAAAGAAGTATACTGATGTATTGGAATGAAATCTTTGGCCAGTGGAAAGCAAGTTTAAGAGTTTTGCTTTTTCTTTGAATTGCATGAGGAAAGGCTTGTGGCAGTTACTTCTTTACAAATCTTCCTTAGAGTTTTTCCTTATTTTTCCTTTTTTTAATATATAAACCTTTTTAAATAATTATATTTTCTGCTTAGGGGACTTCTTTTTAATTAAAAAAATCAAACTTTATATTAATATTGTTTGTACTATTGACTTGAGGCACCAATGATATCTTTAATACTTATTCTTCACTATTGCTCAGTATATTCTGCTGCATCACCAAAAACAAAAATTTTTACTTAAAAAATTTCTTATCAAAAAACAATAACCAGTTTACTTTTGTTAACTGATTAATACTTCAAATCTAATCAATCAAATATTACCACATATCAAAACAATTCATACAACCAAAACACTATACAACTATTGACATAAACAAATTCTGTTTTGGCAGTATCAATCTAAACAAGATCATACTACAAAAAAATAAACCAATTAACATATCAACAAAAATATTAACAACTAGTAATGTGTCAACAATACTATTATTTACTTTGAACAGTAACCTGGCTATTTCTAAAAGTAATATTCTACTTTAGTTAAATAAATCAATTAATATAACATGTCTAATTCAAAATATTATATGTATTATAATTAGTTTTTTTTTATACTTTTTTTTTCAATTATTTATATTCTGTAGAAAAACGTGTTTTTTTATTCTATTACTTGATAATGGTTTTGGATTGTAACTTTTAAATTAAATTTTTGATTGGTCAAAATTAATCAATGTATATTAATTAATTTATTTGTTTATAGTATAATCTTGTTTTAATTAATATTATCAAAATAAAATTTGTTTATATTAATTATTATATAGTATTTTGATTATATAAAAATTTTTTAAATTTGATAGTATTTGATTGGTTAGATTTGAAGTGTCAATTAATTAATAGAAGTAAACTGGTTATGGTTTTTTGTTAAAAAATTTTTTAAATAAAATTTTTTGATTTTTAATAGTATAATAAAATGTGCTAAGCAATAGTAAAAGATAACTATTGAATATATTGTTGGTTCTTCAAGTTAACAATATAGATAATTTTAATATAAGGTTTGATTTTTTGAATTAAAAAAAAGTTTTTTAAGCAAAAAATATAATTATTTAAAAATGTTTGTATATTAGAAAAAAATGAAAAGAATTTCCAAAAAGATCTATAAAGAAATAATTACTATGTCTTTTCTTATACAATTCAAAGAAAAAGCAAGACTTTTAAACTTGCTTTTCTCTGGTCAAAGATTCCATCCTAATATATCAATATATTTTTTTGTTTTCCTTGAAGTTTTTATAGTAAAGAAAGAGAAAGTGTTCAACCAAATTTAATATGCTATTTGAAATAGTTATCAGTTAATATCTTGCTAGAGATAGTATCAAAAAACATGTTATATTAATACAAGTCAATTCAAAATTATATGGCTATTAGAAAATTATCATTATCTATTTTTCCAGATTTGTGTAATTATTTACTTTTGATATATATATTTCATTGACATGGAAGAAAGTATACTTTGTGTATTAATAAAGCTAGCATGGTTTATGCCATAATCTTATTTTCATAATCTTCACATTTAATAAAATAAGAGTTGTTTCATATTTACTCTTATATTCTTTCCATCCTTATTACTTAACTTGCATGCTGGACATAATAACTCTTCATGAATTCCATAAAAATCAAAATTTTCATTACTAAATTTTATATATACTGTATATCAGGATATCCCCATACTATCTTATTACGAAAACAAGCAAGATCATGGGTCAGATTATCCCATTTTTCGAATGAAGCTGAGGTGTAGATGGTTACTTGTCTTAGCCTTTGACAAATCGTCGGGACCTGGTGAATTAGAAATATGGGTTATATTATTAGGTGATGCTTCAGCATCTGAGACACTTACCTCGGTATTGGATAAAGATTTGAGATCCTCAGTTGTGATCATGTGATTTTGATCGTTTTCCTGGAAAATGGATTTTGAAGCTACTTGATCTATGTTTTGAATTTGTATATTGATTAATTTTGAAATATCATTTATATTGCAGGTAACATACTTAACTATATCAATTCAACCTCCATTTTTCCCAAATAACTTACGAATTTTTCTAACCCTAAGAGTCTTAATTCGCAAGGAAACTGATGCAACACCTGGTAGATATTCTAACATATCTTTGTATTTTTGCAGTTTTATCGCTAACTCTGAATAGCGAATCCAGGATAAAATTTCTTCATTGTCCAGATCGTATAGCTTTTCTAAACAAATTGATCAGATATTTAAATAGGATCAGGTATAGCAATAAGCATACCATTCTGTAAATCTCGTATTAAATACAGTTCTATATTTTGCTTTTTAGTAAGCTCGATTTCATCAGAATCGTCAAAATTTTCTGCCGGTAAAAAATAGTTTTTTGCTGATTGCTTATTTGGAAAGCAATATCAATATATTTTCAATATTATCATGATTGTTTCCCTGGGAAATGGTTTTATATAACATAATGAATTGTCTTTATCATATTACTGTATGTAGAGTTTTTGGCCTGAAACTTCTTTTTCTTATCGTGTTGCCTTTTTTTATCACTAACGCTTTCCTTATGTGCCTCATTTAAGAGTTTACCCATCTCTCTCTCCTCCGGTAACTTGAAGTTGACCTCTGATAACACTTCTGATACCACATCATTTACTTTATAAACAGGTGCATGTTGCTCGAGCTGACCTACTACGGAATAATCATCAGCAGATACCTCTGGTAATATCTCTAGTATTGCTTCCTTGGATATGTTGGCATCATCATTCCGTGAATTATTTTGTGGTTATCCATCCACTGCCACAGACTCTGTTCCATTATTGCAAGCCTAACCTCAAGCTCTTTATTCTTTTGCTCTAATTCTTCGACTCTCAATAATCTGCTTCAACTTCACATTTTCAACCTCAACCACTTTTCAAGTACAGGAATCTTATCGTTCTTTCTAAGCTCTGCAATCTCAGCTAAATAGTTTAGCATTTAATTCTCTTAATTAATCAATGGATTGAGTTTTTGACATTGTTTTATACAAAATGGGACTAATTCAAAAGTTCGATTTAGTTCATTGCATCATGCAACCAGATCACGTAGCCCGTGATACATAACGTCTATATTAATATTCTATCCTCTATCCTATTATTCTGTTTTTATCCACTTCAATAGTTCCTGTAATTCGATCTGGCTATCAAACACTCACTTGATTTGCCCAAACAAGTCCTTGATAGGCTCCACTAAGTCATCATGGGTCGACATAGCCTTGTTGATTGGTAATGGAGAGGGTGAAAACGAACTTAATAACACTTCCACCTTCTCTTTCCTATTATTATTCTCAGGGTTAGACGAAGCTAGTTTGATTATTACCCAATCCACAGCAGTTGATACAGTCCCATACATTATATCCACAGTGGCGGTCGAAAATATTGCATCTTTATGAAATTTGGATTAAAATGTCACATGTGAACTCGAGTCTCAGGTCCTAAACCGGAACCACGATTTTTAAGTTGATCTCATATTAGTGTATACGTATGCATCTTTTCTGGTGAACACAACATCTCAATCGCGTAAAATTTATAAATACGCCAGATTACGGGCACTGAAACATTTGATTTTTCTAAAAAACCATGTCTGGCATCACCGAAACAATGATATTTTGTCTCATTCTAGGAGAAGCTATTAAAAATTCTTTCCCGGTCGACATCAAACCATATGGCATATCAACAAACTAATAAAGAATGCGGTATCTCCTGAACTTGACGAGTTTGCACCAGACAAACTGAAGCTACGGAAGGTTGATATTCCTCAAAACAGAGAAAATCAGGAAATGAAAATACCTGTCGGAGTTAATATTGCAAAAGAATATGGAGGTATAGAGTTGGCCTCGTTCGAAACTATCGAAGAATATTTTCGTCCGATACCCACTAGTACTAGCATCCGAATTATCGTACAACTGCCTGTCACCACTGGTAAGTGTCTTACCTCTCGAACAAGAAATTTGCAGTTATCTCATTCTTTTTATTCGATTAGTAAAAAGAAAACTGGAAGGCTCAGATGAAGAAAAAGAAAAATTGGGTATCCTCCAGAATCAAAAGAGGGTCATGATAGTCTTGCTGTTATTTCAGGTGAAAGACTGATTATGATCACTGAATTTATGGAAAAGAACCGTGTTGGTCTTTTGCGCAGTCCTCCGTCATCAGGAAAGACTACTCTCGGTCAGACGCTTCGAGACTACTTCATCGAATGCAACCATATTGGTATATTCATTAGTCTTGCTAGTTTGGACAGTAAAAGAACAAATAGATGAGAGTTTCTTTGAAGAGTTCTGGAGGAAAGAAACTGGTTATACCTGGACAAAAATCAACGACATCACAAAGACCATTTATGTTTTAATCGATGAGATACAGACCATTTATGGTAAATGTGCATACTTTTGGGGTAGATTGAAGGCACTTATGTCAAGCGAGTGCGACAAAGATATTCATATACTTCTTCTCGGCACCTACGATCCAAAAATTGTAAATAAAGTGACACCGGTGGTATTTAGCGATAACAATACTCTTGTTTTAAAAGCCCTACTTCTCACAAAGGTAGAATTCAGGTTTCTTGTAAAAAATTATGTTCAGATACGCGTTTTAAGGGGTAACATAATGTTCAACATTCCTGAGGCTATTTCGGATGCGATCTTTCGTCTTACTAATGGGCATCCTGGTTTGTGTCGATTTATTTTGGATTCGCTACACACTCGTTTTAAAGATGGAGCTTTAACAGTGGAAATGATGCGATATGTTGCATCACGAAATCTAGTAAATAATATAATAGCAGGTTTACGTGCTTTTTATTGGATCAATAACTGGAATCCAACCCCAGAAGAGGCTGCAATATGCTACTTATCAATCGGGTTGGAAGTTCCTTTAGAGTTAATTATGAATCTGTTGCCAAGAATTTTATTAAGACAGGTCTCTTCGCGATGGATTCCGGAGGAATACAATTTACTGCACCCGTAATGCGAATTGTTCTGAGCTTTCGCCTGTTCACCTCTTCTGGTTTGAAATCACATACAACAAATTTTGATGAGTTTTTATTTCGGGCCGTTGAGCGCATTAGACCATCTAGGCTATCTAGATCGCTTGGAAGAGGTCGGTCTGAATCTGACTCACGTTTATTTGAGAGAAGTTGGCAAATGGAATGGTATCATTCTGCTTCAAGTGTGGTCCCAGCGAATGCATCAATAAGTGCTGATGTTGGTCCCGTGTTTGGTTCGGCTGGTTTTCTGGATTTTTATGTTAATGGAGAAGAGATAGAAGAGATTTGCTGGGGAATTGAACTGATACGTGAGGGTGATCGTTTGAAGGAACATGCAGAACGATTTGAAGATGGCGAGTATGCCTCAATTCTATTAAAAATGGGCTATTGTTGACTTCCGACACCATACAAAACAAATAAGGGAATTAAAACCAAACTTCTGGTATGTGCTCTACGCGGATAACTACGAACAAGTTACTATAAAGCGTCAAGGGCATGAAGACAAATTACTTACCTTGCAAGGCGATAATATGTAACCTATAGGTAAAATTGTGTTTATTATAAAATAAAAAAAATTATTTTGAGTTGACGCTGCAATCCATCTCACATTATTAAATAAGAAATGAATATAATAAAGGGAATGGAGTACAGTAGCGAGTTTAAAGGGAGGAAGTACTCAAGACCTAACCCATAAAATGAGAGTTCCTTCCCGCTCTTCACTATTGGCTTATTTTATATAAATTGCTACCTCTTAAAATCATCTATTTTACGATAACCAATATGTCCCACCCTGAGAGTAATAAGTTAAGCTTCGGATTGATTTGCTTCACTTTGTTGATCAGATAGGTTAATCTTGAAGTTCATCTTCCTTGGTGGTTTCACTTCATGCCTGGAAAACAACATAATATCAATTGATTTTCCAAATTATAATACAATCCTCAAGTCTGGCATCACGTTTAGCAAACTCGGTGGTGAGTCGGGAATAGCTTTATATAGTTTACTATATTATTATTTACTAAAAAAGATAGTTGAATATATACTGTATTTCAACAGTTGAGCAATTTTATAGTATTTAAACTTTACTAAATTGATGAGGCAAGCAACAAATAGAAAGGAATTCAGAATCCAGGGAATTTTCTTTTTAATGGACCTGTTGATATAACTAATGTCATTATTTCTTATAGTTGTTATAAAATTGGTTCTCAAGTGCTTTATATTTTTTTTGGTAATTTCCTTTAAATACTTATTTTTTATAAATAATCTGAAGATTTTGTCTCTTAACAGAATTTTTGTGAATATTGTGAAGTATAGTTTCTATAAAATTGAACCCTTTGACCTATTTATAATTTTTTGAGAATGTCGACATCTTATACATTTGCCTAACATTAACTTAGCTATACTGCCAGATCAATAATAATGTTGTATTTGCTAATAAATAAGTCTATTATATTAACAGTCTGCTTGTCTAAAGTATTGTATATTGGTTATTAAATGTTGTAATTTCTTTTTAATAATATATTGGCAATATTTTGTTCTCTTGAATCTTGTAATTATAGAAATAACAAGTTTGTTAAAAGTTTTAATATTTTGATAAAATTTCTTATAATACTTGTTTTTTTATTATATATAATTGTATTGTCTACAATTTGAATTAAAAAGCTTGTTTTTTACAATATTAAAGTTGATATAATTTTTAATATTGAATTTTTAAGTTGATTTGAACCTGTCTAATAAATTTAATTAACAAGTTTATTTTTTAATGAAATTTTTTGTTTTAATAATTTTATAAAAATATTAATAGTCAGATTTGTTTTAACTGATTTCAGAAATAATTAGGGTTCCAAAAAAGTACCGAACTGGTATCGAACTGGTATCGAAATGGTACTGATCTATAGTAAATTTAATATATGGGTTGT